GAGATACAATCGAGCATGCTCTTTCTACCAAGATTTCAAAGAGTGTCATACGACTCTTGCTCAGAAGTTCTCTGATCAATGTTACAACATTCAAGGCCTCAGTTGAGCTTTCAAAAAGTTTTATGGTAGACATGTGGAGGACATGTCCAAATTTGACGCATCAGTGACAAAAATGCCCAATTTTAACCTTGTTCCCATGTTTTTTCAGTTGAACAATTGACTTGCCTTTGCATGTGTTTGTGATGAGTGCCACTGGTGGGGCAGGATATGCTCACCTCATGAACACCTGGGGTGTTACAATTTGATAGTGATTCATAAACACATGCTCATGATATAGTCGGAATCGTACAAACGACTCTGCTTTATGCAGAGATTTCTATTGAATATGGAAGGGGATTTGTCGCTTTATTCCCACATCAAGTTGACATGTCATGAGATGACTGGAATAATGTTCAATGCGGCGTTAAACTGAACTCACTCACTCGCTGTAGTGAGTTCTATTTGTGTAATTTTTGTTTGTGAAATGTGTGGAACAAGAATGTGATAGTGATGTTTGTAAGAAAGTATTTCGTGTTAAAAATGCATTAACGGAGGAAACATTTTTACACAGACCAGAGTCTCCACTTTAGAAACTCAATGAGACATCTGCGAAAAGTGATTTCTATTGATTATCTGTCAGTAATATTTTAACTATCTCTTTTGTTGCTATCATATATTTTTCAGAAATCAATAAATTTACTTAAAATATATTTCGAATGTGAGGGATCTGTGCTTGAGGTTGAAATAGCTGTATTTAAATGTCTTTTGGATTATACAAGCTGCAGCTCTGTTAGCTCATCCCTATTCAATGGTTTATAAGTTGCACTGAAAGTGAGTCATATGGCAAATAGCATCCTGACTTGCAGTCGTCATGCCAGTAGGTGGGATGATTAATCCTCCCCTGAGAATGCTGTTTTGTGAAAGTAGGCAATTTGTATAAATTCTAAAGAAATATATTCATGCAAGAACAACGATGAGGATGAACTTGTTCAACATGTTCTTGTGGTGCTACCGAAATCCATTTTTCAAATTCTGAAATAACTGGATGCCTTGATAAGTAGGATACGGTCACTCGTCAAACAGGATACTTAGGCTACACATATTTCATTATTTGTTCATCAGCACCCTCATCTCTTTATTGTTGAATAGTAAACATTTTGAGTTTATTTTGCTGATTTTAATATTAGGCAGATTATTTTGCTGCAGATTAGGTACCAGAGGCAAACAACCTTCCCTCAAAGGCTATACCAAAGGGAAATGTTGAGCTCAAAGAGCCTATGTTTATTCCTGTGTAATGAATAAGATGCAGTGTTGACAATAAGATAACAATCAAGCATAGACAACAGACACCATCAAAAAAATATTATAACTTTTAATATTTAATATATATTTTATATAATTTTTATAATAAAAATAATAATTATTAATTATTCACCAACTCCTCATATTTGAGAAAAGTGTCTGAAGACAAAGCTCTTGATCTGTTGTCATGATAACACCATTATCATTTAGTGCCAAAGTTAGTGTGTTTGACTTTAACCAACTGTCTCAAGCCGAGGTTTGTTAAAGGTTCTTTCAGCCCAGAAAGATTTGCTACTAAAAGTCCATATATTAACTCTGACATCTGCTGGAACTGATGTCAAGTGGCAACTTTGAACGAACATAAGTAGTAGGCTAAGTAGACTCAAACGTTTTGAGACAGACTAAAATATGATAATGTAGCACTTTGAGCATGCTTCAGGGTGTAGATTTGGTTCACATTGTAAATACCCACATCAATGTTATTATCAGATATGTCCCTAGGCAACAGAGAGGCATGGCAACATTAAACAGGGTTGTATATATCTTCTCATTATGTCTACACATGCTGTTTCTAGTGAGTAAGTGAGTGAGTATGGTTTTACGCTACTTTTAGCAATATTCCAGCAATATCACGGAGAAGGACACCAGAAATGGGCTTCACACATTGTACCCATTGTACCTCGGCCTTCAGTGTGACTAGCAAACCCTTTAACCACTAGGCTATGCCCCTTGCTGTGTATGAACAATATCTGTCAGATATGTTAGATTGTGATAGTGCTTTGACTCCTTGATCCAGTTTCAAATATTGCAGATGTTTTAGGACATAACTAAGCTTTTTAAAATATCACCAGATATTAGCAAAACAATAACTAGGTTTGTTGTTTGAGGAGGGGGATAGGGCTTCTAAATGCACCTCTACACACAGAAAACACCCAATGTTGACACATTGGTTTTTTCTTGAAGAATCCTTCATGAATTGAATACTCTGAAAGAAAGACATGCATGTTATATGTGCATTATCGATCTCAGAATCGATCCATCGATGAAATCTTTTTCTTCGCCGCCTTCAGCAACCTAATCGTGTCAAGTCTAATCATTCCCTGTCAAAGTCGGTTCACTGTCTGTTATTGTTAACCTGTCAAGAAGTCAACCTGTTTGAGACAATCTCCTATCACATAACCTGAAAATAGGAGCCGTGCTGTTGTTTCAGTGTTTTTGCTTTCTCCTGCTGCCAGGATCATGTCACAGGTTGAGATCTTGCATGCATGCACCTGACAAATAGTCGTGTACGATGCCATTGTTGTACCACACTTCCTGTAAGATTTTTATGTGGCAAGTAGTGCCCGGAAATTTCTCTGTCTCTGTTGTCCGTGATCCTTGAAACAAGGACTAGACGGTGTACAGTCCCTGCAGCTTCTTGGTGAATCCATTACCGCGTTTGTCATGTCAACAGGGGACATAGTTCGGCAGGGCCAGGATGTGTTGTTTTACGGGAGGTGAAACAAAAGGCAATGTCAGCGGTAGGGCGGAGTTAAGACTGATTGATTAGGACAATACACTCATCCTTTTTTTTCTCTATGATCATGTGCAGAAAGGATTTTTAAAACTTCAAAAATTTAGGCTGAATGAGTTTAGAGGGTTTCGGAAATTTTGACAGGAATTTCATTCTTTTGGGGTGGAACCAGAATGATTGATAATTGTGTCTGTGTTGCTCTTGTCTTCTTCCTGAAGTGAACAAACATTAGATTGTTTTGACATCTTGGACTTTCCTTTTTTAGAAGAAACGATCTCATTGTCATCTCTCTCTATTCTTGGTTAAGGAAATGTTGTACAGTTGACACAATGTGCAGGGTGTTATTTTTAAAGAAGGAATTCTAATATGACACACATTTATTGAAATTAGCAAACAGATTTGACAGATCTGCCATCTTGGAGGAGGAATATTTAAAGATTTGCATAAAATAAAATTTGGAACAGATGGTAATTGTAATGTTTTCTACTGTTCTGTTCACCATCGATTAGGTTTTCGGGCCCCAGTTATTGTCCTTAAGTACTATGACTGATAATAAGAGAGTTGAAAAGTTAGATGCCAAAGTTTAGAGACATACCCTCTCATTCCCATAACAATGTAATTGTAAAATGTAGATATGTTCTATAAATAAATGTAATCATTGCTTTGCACAACATGTTGTGACTCAACACCAGCACCAAGGAAGGCACGATCTGTCTTGTATTTCATCTCATCCTGCCTACAATGGTGATGCTGTTCATTTTCAGAGCAAAAATATTATGGTTAGACCTGTTATTTATGGCTTGAAATGTAATACCCCTGAAAAGTTGATATTGTATGGAAAGGTTGCAGAACTATTAACCCACCCCCCACCCCAAACTTGCAGCTCCGTTAACCCGCCACCTAGATTTTCAGCCCTGATACCCCCCAAAAGAACTTGCAGCCCTGTTTACCCAGCCCCATTAAACCTCCTCCCTAACTTCCCTCCCTGTTAACCCAGCCCCATGAAGACTAATACCCAGCATCAAGCTTTTCCCTAGAGATATATGAATTACGAAGAATGCAATTTTAAAAATAAAATCAGTTTCTGTCAGGAAAAGTCATTGCATTGACTCAAGAAGAGGCAGTCATAATGCATTGACACTATAGATGGGGTGAAAACTTGCTGAATCTCAGCTCACTCATGTTGCATTGACTATAGGAGTGAAACCTTGCCTAGTCTCACTTGACAATCAGATATTTCAATGATATGAAGGTACATTGAGTTTCCATGTGATTGATTTCTATCATCGATTGATTATAGATATGCAACTGCTCTACTGATTGAGTTCTATCATCGATAGATCGTAGATGGATAACTGCTCTACTGATTGATTTCTATCTTCGATAGATCATAGATGTGTACCTGCTCTACTGATTGAGTTCTATCAACGATAGATCATAGATGGATAACTGCTCTACTGATTGATTTCTATCATCAATAGATCGTAGCTGGATAACTGCTCTACTGATTGAGTTCTATCATCGATAGATCATAGATGTGTAACTGCTTTACTGATTCATTTCTATTGTTGATAGATCGTAGCTGGATAACTGCTATACTGATTGAGTTCTATCATCGATACGCCAAAGACCCGGGTTCGATTCCCGATATGGGTACAATGTGTGAAGCCCATTTCTGGTGTCCCCCGCCGTGATATTGCTGGAATATTGCTAAAAGCGGCGTAAAACCATACTCAGTCAGTCAGTCAGTCAGTCTATCATCGATAGATCATAGACGTGAAACTACTCTACTGATTGAGTTCTATCATCGATAGATCATAGATGTGTAACTGCTCTACTGATTGAGTTCTATCATCGGTAGATCATAGATATGTAACTGCTCTACTGATTGAGTTCTATCATCGATAGATTGTAGATGGAGAACTGCACTACTGATTGTGTTCAATCATCAGTAGATCATAGTTGGATAATGGCTGATGTTATCAACCACTCGTGTTTTGATTAATTATTTACTATCCAGTGTGACATAGCTAGAATATTGACTCACTCACTCACTCATTCTCATAAAGCATTCATTGCACAAACTCTCTTTGTTCCGTTTCATTTTGTTTCAATTTTACTTGTATCAATATTTTTATATTTTCAGTTGGAGGTGATACAGAGGCAGGTGGATGGCTTGAGCTGAACATGTCAGACACACAGACACGGGTCATGTGACAGGAGCAGACAGCAATATCGGTATTTATCACCCGCGTCCCAATGTTGCAGTCTGCTGCTGCTGATGGACGTGCAATAAGTTACTCCTGCGATATTGGAATTGGACAAGCTGAGCGGAAAATTGTCACCAACTGATTTAAGTGGCAGCTCAAGTCATGGATATTTTCTTATTGCAGAGGCCAGATCATGTTTTTCCAATTTATTAACCAAAAAAAAGTGATTCAGTTTGAGAGAAATATATTAATGAAATACTGTTATTGAAACCGATAAAAAACTATGATGGAATTACTGAGGAGGCAAGTTGTGTAGGACTGTTGCATGTTATGCTTCCAGAATGCAGTGTACCTGTGTTGATATACATGCACAGAATCGGGTGTGGCTATATGACATGGCTCCAGTGTTGTACAGTGTGTTAGGTTTATCACATTCATATACCCCTGGTAGGTCCAATGTTGCATAATAGGGTAGGTTTCACAACATGGGGCGGATTGACGATATTGGGTTGGGGAGGGGACAGAATCCTAGACGACCAGGGTGGTATGTTTGGGGGTAGGGCAGTGTGGAGCTCTAATGTCCTTGCTTGGTTAGGTGGCTTAACATTTTGACTGTCGTAAGTGGATGGGTGTTACAATGGATGTGAAAATGGCTTTGTGTACTGAGACACAGAGTTGGATAATTAGGCAAGATACCCCTTTTCTTAGTAGTAATTTAGTCTATATTAAATGAACTGATGTATCACCCAATGTGTGAAAATAGATATACACTGGTTTGCAGAGATTGTTAATGTTGTCATGGAAACTCAGCTTCACACAGAGTGGACATTTTTTAAAATTAATTCAGGGGAGTGAGAAGTAGCGTTTTGCTAAGACCTATTACCAGGTGTGTTTGTTAGTCATCTTGTGAGACATTATGTGATGAATATGTGCTTGAACATACATGTGATGTAGATGAGATGTTCGTTGAAATATCTTTGTATGACAACTGAAACAACAGTAATCCAAAGATTTGTGTAAAAGATTTGTCATCTTCATTGTACAGACAAAAATAAATATTACAAAGTATTTACTTATTTATCTTTTATTCCCAAAGACAGCGTTGAACATTCATGATTTAAATGAGTGCTGAGCAGAGTTGAGTCTTTTAGGTGTTCAAAGGATCTGCTTGTGGATTTGGATCCAAGGATCACCCTGATTATGGACCTTGGTTAGCAACACCATACAAATGCTTACTGGTTTTACCAGTGGGTGAGTGAGTGAGTGAGTGAGTTGGGTTTAACACCGCTTTTAACAGTATTCCAGTTATATCACGGCGTGTCAGCCTAATGTGGGAGGAAAGCAGGTCTGTGTGATGCAGGTCTCAGACGTTTACCACTTTGGTGAAACCCACAAGTACGGGTATGGTGCTGACAAACCTAGAAACATAATCGGGGCGAACCAGGATTCGAACCCACAATCGTAGGTTTCTGACATGGGAATCGAGGTGCCTTAGACGACTGGGCCCCCCATGCCCCCACTTGTTTTACAAGGTGTCTGAGACCTGCATCACTTCATGTTGTCCTACCACATTAAGTTGACATCCCCTGATATGACTGGAATAATGTTCAACGAGGTGCTCACTCACTCACTCACTCACTCACTCACTCACTCACTCACTCACTCACTCACGCACGCACGCACGCACGCACGCACGCACGCACACTCTCTCTCTCTTTCTCTGAGTCATGTATAGGTGAGTCAGAAAACCATTGTGGGGTATTTACTCACAAACATCCGTGATTTTTAAAAAGTTCTTGATGTACCTCCCAGCCTATTTAAAGCCTGTTCTAAGAACTTGTCAGGTGATTACCATACACTTTATTCAACAGTGGAAAGGGCCAACTGATTTCAGTAATACAACCTGTCTATATGGGCCAGCCTTTTCACCACTAGTAGAGCAGCGTGTTTACAGAACAGGCCCTGTCTCAATAGGTATGCTCAGTTTACGCCAAGTTATGGGTTAGAGGAACACGCTGTGTTTGTTTGGCTTTGAAACAGGATGAGACATATGCACAATCTTGTATATATCTACAGGGCTGTCCCAGTTCATGGTATGAGCTAGGACAAGAGCTAGATGTACAGGTCAACACTTGTGCTCAATATTGGTGTGTTTGTTCTCAATGTTGGCAGGGAATCTTTGATTGTCCCTCGATCAATAATTGATGGTGGATTTCATCTGTGGACAAACAGCGAGATGGGACGGAATCTTTAAACTGTTTACCTCCATAAATGCTTCTTTATCACTTAATCGAGACTGCTCTCTAGAGAGTTTACTGTTATTTATCAAAAAGTGTGTCCTATTTGGACAGGACAGTGAAAATAAATGCTGGAATAGCCTGATCATGATTTGATTGTTGATTGAAAAACCCTGTATGAAAATGGCCCTTCTGCCCCTATCTCTCCCACCCCCCCTCTCACCTCTCTCACACACACACACTTCCTCCTAAAAACTCACATGGGTTGAATTTCAGAGGCCTTATTTCTTGTTATATTTTCATTTGTATATTTTTCATTGCCCTCTTTGTATTTTAGAACTATGTACTGGCATTTGGTAGTCATACTAAGGCTATAGACATGGTTAGTCTGACCAAAGAAGAAATAAAAAATTGAGTTGAAAGTATTGGTTTACAATTGACATCTTGGCATAATTGTTTGGGTGAGAAAATCTGTCAAACATGCAACTTGAATGAATGAACGAGTTGGGTTTTGTGCCACTTTTAGAAATATTCCAGCAATACCTTGGCACTTGTACCGTAGTTTAAACCAAACCCATAATAGTAAGATTCCATGAGTATAAATGACTCAGTGTGGATGCTTTTCCTATTTATCACCATTGGGTCTAGGGACTAGAATACGTTTAAGCAGATCTATGGTGATATTGTGTCAGTGTACCTCTAAGACATGGATTGCTGCTCATAATATCAATCACTGGATTGTCTGGCCTGTACATACTGCCATTATATAGAAGGTATATTGCTGAGTGTGGCGTTAACAACAACAAAACAAGTAATATTAAGTTTTGCTGCAACACTACAACTAAAAGTTTCTGAAAACCAAAGAGCGCCGATTTTTCAAATATTTTCAATAGAATTTATTTGTCACTATTGTAACCCTGATTTTGTGCACTGATTCCCCCTCAAAATGTGTATATACTGGTAGATTTAAGAAGTGATGAAACAGAAAACACAATAAATGTAAAGAATTGTGGAGAATGTCAATGTTTCGAGAGTTGGTTTCAAGTATCTTCCTGCAGTAAAAAAAACCCAAGTCATGCCATGTCCATTATAAGGGAAGTGCTTAGTTCCCCATGAGCCCCAATTGTGGACAATGATCTGTAGTTCCTCCCTCATGTAAAACACTGTTAGTCGATCTGATCCAATTACAAGTTCTCGATGCCCCTCTAAGTGGACTGAGATCTTGCACAGTTCACTGATTTTTGTACCTAATTTGTCATGATATACGTAAACGCAATTTGTGATGGTTCTTCTTGCCTATTGGTCGACTGCCAGAGGCGGCTGATTGGTCCATTTATATCATTATGATCACAACGAAGCTTGATTTGGTGCGAGTGTCTTGTTTGATGTTGCACAGATAAAAAGTTAATTGAAATTTGGATCTTGAGATTTCCTCCTATCTTCTGATGATGGATTTCGACCAATCAGGGATGGCCATGAAAACTGAATCAAAGACCAATAAACGCCAAGAGAAACTCTTAAGAACTCTGTTGCATTATGGAGAGGCTTTTTATTCAAATCTATTTCTTTCTCAATAACACAAATCAAAGCTTGTTATATTGATTATTATGCTGTTCAGATTTTTCTTTGGTATTACCAGTGCTTTTAAAGAAAAAAATCAATTTTCAAAACTAGTGACACACAAAAAATCTTCTGTTACATTAAGCAGGGACAATTGTGAGACTTTTTTGTGTTGTCTTCTAATCATTTACACTATGAATAATGCAAAAGCACTGTTTAAGTATTTTCCCTATTTAATACCCTTGGGGCTCAGAGAAAAGCGATCAATCAATCGCGTTACACGAACTACTAACAAATAATATTACATTTTGTATCAAATTCTAAGAAAATCTTTCTTCATGTATTGGGAGACTGAGTGAGGGTTCCTGGCATACAGATACTGGCAAAGATGAGTTGTTTCCATGGTGATACTTCAGAAACTGTTTGCCGAATTATTCAAGTTAATTTAAACATGAAATAAAACAGATATTCATAATTATTCCCCTTTAAAATGTTGACAAATTAATGACTTCTTTATGGTTAAGTCCTGCCTCTCTCCATTCCTGTCTTATTTAAGTGTAGTGAGCTGACTTGCTCGATGTGGTCATTATTTGGAACAACTCCAGATATCTTTCCTTGCCTTCTCTGGTACGGGGAAAACTGGAAGATTTAGAAATGTAATTCTATCAAATCTAGAAATGTCACTGAGTGAGTGAGTTTGTGTTGGTTAGAACACAGCATGTCAGTTTGTGTGAGAGGAAACCACAAATGTGTGTATTTGTATGTGGGCTATCTTAGGGAATAACTCCATCAGCAGCATTTGAATTTAAGGGGACACTGTGGTTTCCTGGGTTCTAAAAAAATTCAAAACTTTTAACATTTGTTTTGTGACAAGGACTTGGTTTCTTTCAGGCTATATTTCTGTATTGGCAGTCGGTCGTAGAAAATCAAATATATTTAAAAAGATAAAGAAAATTATTCAAATTATTATATAATACCATAAAATTTCATTCAATATAAAATCCAATGAAATTTTGGGTTATTATATCATAATTTAAATTATATATAATATCCTAAAATCCAATGAAATTTTGAGGTGTTATATAATAATATCAATTATTATATAATACCCCAAAATTTAATTGGATTATATAATACCCCAAAATTTAATTGGATTATTTAATAGCCCAAAATTTCATTATGTCGTTCTTCAGAAAGAGATTCAGCTGAGGTAAAACTGAAGTTATTGTAACAATTAAAAGATGCTAATTGCAAATAATTTCAATTCTTGATGCTCTGATTTGAAAGAAATGAAAATATATTTTGAAAAAATCTCATGTTATTATCTAAAACAAACAAGCTACCATCTGGATAATTTCTTACAACTTCTCACACGAAAACTATTGATGCGATGCATCAACACAGGGGCAAACTCTTTGTTCGCCAAATTATATTTACAATGATATAATTTCCCCAAATATTTCATCAACACAGGCATATTTAAAACAATATGAACAATATTGGTTTCAATTCATTCCCTTTTCAAATCTTACACTTTGTTTTTGACAACTGTGCGATGACCTCCCTTACTGAATTTGATAAGCAATATCTTTCCACAGTCAATGAGAGCAGTGTCCTATTCTGGCTCAAACTAGATCAAGATGTGTTCCGCTTGTGATGAACTGGTCTTTGTCACTCTCAGTATTGCGGTAAACTCTCTGTCAAATGTCATGCATTTCAGTATATAAATAGAGCTGAAACAAAAATAGCAAACAAAATATTGAAAATTTTAAGAACTACTAGACCAAAAGTGACATGTTATCAACAATTGTTTAACAAAATATAAATATTCAATCACCAAAGTCCATAGACTTTTAATTTTTTTTATTACAAATAGCAAAAAAACGTTAATATTAATGTTATGTCAACACAGAAACCGTAAGAAGAAAAGAATATAATACTTGTTCAAAGTCATTATTCGTCCACTTGTTCCACTTTTCTATGTTTCACTATTGTTTGCCTCATATGCAGTTACCTCCCATACTTACCAAACTCATGACCTCCTATGGAACCCTGAGGAATAAGCATGGTAGACTATTCTGGTCAGGTGTCTCGCTTTTCATTTTTTCATTTGATGAATTTAGGGGTTTCATTCAAAATAATCCTGAACAACTAACAACAAAACGGGAATGTGTAAAACACATATACCAAAACTTGTAGACAATTGGAGACAAACTTAGAAATGCATGAATTTCAAAACACTTACCATAGATGATGGTAGCATGATGGCCG